AGACCTTTTTTATAACAAGCATTACACGCCTCTTAAGATGTTTTGAACTTGTTTAAAAATAGATAAAAATAATATTTAATAAACAACTGATTAAATAACATTAATGGTAGCCTATTATGAGGCTAAGCCCACCCTCCTCCTCCTTAATGTAGATAATATCATTTGTTATATAAAAAAAGCAATCATTTGACAACTAATTTATTGTAATTTAATCACATTATTATCCGCGTGCGAAAGACCTTTTTTTATAACCAACATTAAACGCCTCTTAAGAAGTTTTGAATGTGTTTAAAAATACAGAAAATAATATTTAATAAACATTTGATTGAATCACATTATTGCTAGCCCATTGTGAGGCTATGTGACATCCCACATCGCCCAGGGGAATAATCCTTATATGTATATTCCCATGCTTACCTAGCACGAGGCCTTTTGGGAGCTCACTGGCTTCGGGTTCCATGGGAACTCCGAAGTTAAGCAAGAAGGGGGTTAGAGCAATCCCATGATGGGTGACCCACTGGGAAGTTGCTCGTGAATTCCCCAAAAACAAAACCGTGAGGGAATGGTAAGCCCAAAACGGACAATATCGTGCTACGGTGGTGGAGCAGTCCCGAGGAAGTGATCTGCCCCGGGGCGGGATGTGACAGGCTAAGCCCACCCCCTCCCCCTTAATGTAGATAATATCGTTTGTTAAAAAAAAAAAAATCATTTGATAACTAATTTAATCACATTATTATCTGTGTGCGAAAGAATTTTTTTATAACTGGCATTACACGCCTCTTAAGATGTTTTGAACATGTTTAAAATATAGAAAATAATATTTAGTCAACAACTGATTGAATCACATTATTGCTAGTTCATTGTGAGGTTAAGTCCACCACCTCTTCCTTAGTTGTCACATCCCGACCCGGGCGGGACCACTTCCCGGGCCCGACTCCACCGTAGCACGATATTGTCCGTTTTGGGCCCCGATCACGCCAAATTGTCACATCCCGGCCCGGGGCGGAATGTGACAATTTGGTATCAGAGCCTAACCCTGGTCGCATGTGTGCCAACGAGGACGTCAAGCCCCTAAGGGGGGTGGATTGTGGCATCCCACATCGCCCAGGGGAGTGATCCTTATATGTATATTCCCATCTCTACCTAGCACGAGGCCTTTTGGGAGCTCACTGGCTTCGAGTTTTGTTGGAACTTCGAAGTTATGTGAGTAGCGCACGAGAGCATTCCTAGGATGGGTGACCCATTGAGAAGTTCTCGTGTGAGTTCCCAGAAACAAAACCGTTAAGGCGTGGTCGGGGCCCAAAGCGGACAATATCGTGCTACGGTGAAGTCGGGCCTGGGAAGTGGTCCCGCCCGGGTCGGGATGTGACATTAGTGTAGATAATATTATTTGTTAAAAAAAAAATCATTTGATAACTAATTTAATCACATTATTATCCGTGTGTGAATGACCTGTTTTATAACCGGCATTACACACCTCTTACGATGTTATGAATGTGTTTAAAAATAGAGAAATTGAATCATATTATTGCTTGCCAAATGTGAGGTACTAATTAAAAAAAATAGCACAAAAAAATTAATTATTAAAAAATATATTGTTAAAATGACGAAAATGCCCCTACCTTATTGATGCATTATTTTGGGATGTCTTCGAATTTTTTATCTTGGGGGCATTTTTGTCCAAATATGGTGACACCAAAATCACTATTCACGTTAAAATAGAGAAATTAAATCACATTATTGTTAGCTACTTTGAGGTATTAATTAAAAAAAAACAATACAAAAAAACTAATTAAAATGACGAAGGTATTTTTTGAATCACGGCGTGCTACGCGCAACTTATACATTTTAAATGTATTTATATGTGTAAATTGGCAAAAGGAACGGTAAATATTTGAAGCAAACGAATAATCTTAGATCATGTGACATCCCACATCGCCCAGGGGAGTGATCCTTAAATGTATATTCCCATCCTTACCTAGCACGAGGCCTTTTGGGAGCTCACTGGCTTCGGGTTCCGTAGGAACTCCGAAGTTAAGCGAGAAAATGGCTAGAGCAATCCCATGATGGGTGACCCACTGGGAAGTTGTTCGTGAGTTCCCAAAAACAAAACCGTGAGGGAATGGTAAGCCCAAAACGGACAATATCGTGCTACGGTGGTGGAGTGGGCCCGGGAAGTGGTCCCGCCCGGCCCGGGATGTGACAATTTGGTATCAGAGCCTAACCCTGGTCGCGAGTGTGCCGACGAGGACGTCGGGCCCCTAAGGGGGGTGGATTGTGACATCCCACATCGCCCAGGGGAGTGATCCTTAAATGTATATTCCCATCCTTACCTAGCACGAGGCCTTTTGGGAGCTCACTGGCTTCGGGTTCCGTAGGAACTCCGAAGTTAAGCGAGAAAAGGGCTAGAGCAATCCCATGATGGGTGACCCACTGGGAAGTTGCTCGTGAGTTCCCAAAAACAAAACCGTGAGGGAATGGTAAGCCTAAAGCGGACAATATCGTGCTACGGTAGTGGAAGCGGGCCCGGGAAGTGATTTGCCCCGGGTCGGGATGTGACATTGGTATCAGAGCCTAACCCTGGTCGCGTATGTGCCGACGAGGACGTCGGGCCCCTAAGAGGGGTGGATTGTGACATCCCACATCGCCCAGGGGACTGATCCTTATATGTATATTCCATCTCTACCTAGCACGAGGCCTTTTGGGAGCTCACTGGCTTCGGGTTCCGTAGGAACTCCGAAGTTAAGCGAGAAGAAGGCTAGAGCAATCCCATGATGGGTGACCCACTGGGAAGTTGCTCGTGAGTTCCCAAAAACAAAACCGTGAGGGAATGGTAAGCCCAAAGCGGACAATATCGTGCTACGGTGGTGGAGCGGGCCCGGGTTGTGGTCCTGCCCGGGCCGGGATGTGATAAATGGTATCAGAGCCAATCCCTGGCCGGAAGTGTGCCGACGAGGACGTCGGGCCCCTAAGGGGGGTGGATTGTAACATCCCACATCGCCTAGGGGAGCGATCCTTAAATGTATATTCTCATCCTTACCTAACATGAGGCCTTTTGGGAGCTCACTGGCTTTGGGTTCCATAGGAACTCCGAAGTTAAGCAAGAAGTGGGCTAGAGCAATCCCATGATGGGTGACCCACTGGGAAGTTGCTCGTGAGTTCCCAAAAAGCCTCATGTTAGGTAAGGATGGGAATATACATTTAAGGATCGCTCCCCTGGGCGATGTGGGATGTTACAAATCATGCTAAAAGAAACTCCTCATAAACCAAGTAAAGCAGCTGAATTTACATAATAAAATTGGTCTCGATAGAATTTACATTAAGAATAGAGAAAATAATATTGAATAAACAATTGATTGAATCACATTATTGCTAGCCCATTGTGAGACTAAGCCCATCCCTCCCCCTAAGTGTAGATAATATCGATTGTTAAAAAAAAAAAAAAAACAAACATTTGACAACTAATTTAATCACATCATTATCCACGTACGAAAGACCTTTTTTATAACCGGCATTACACGTCTATTAAGATGTTTTGAACGTGTTTAAAAATAGAGAAAATAATATTTAATAAATAATCGATTCAGTCACATTATTGCTAGACCATTGTGAGGCTAGGCCCACCCTTTCCCCCTTCGTGTAGATAATATCGTTTGTTAAAAAAAAAATCATTTCACAATTAATTTAATCACATTATTATACGCGTGCGAAAGACTTTTTTTTATAACCTGCACTACATGCCTCTTAAGATGTTTTGAACGTGTTTAAAATAGAGAAAATAATATTTTATTGTGAGGCTAAGCCCACCCCCTTCCTCTTAGTGTAAATAATATCGTTTGTAATAAATAAAAAAAACAATCATTTGACAACTAATTTAATCACATTATTATCCGTGTGTGAATGACCTTTTTTTATAATCGGCATACACGCCTCTTAAGATGTTTTGAACGTGTTTAAAAATAGAAAAATTGAATCACATTATTGCTAGCCGATTATGAGATACTAATTAAAAAAAGACCACAAAAAAATTAATTATTAAAAAAATACTGTTAAAATGATGAAAATACCCCTGCCTTATTTGATTCATTATTTTGGGATGCCTTTGAAATTTTTTGTCGTCAGGGCATTTTTGTCCAAAAGTTTTTGTTAAATCTTGGTGACACCAAAATCACTATTCACCTTTTCCATTGGCTTTATATATAGACTAGCCTTCATGCACGTGCTCACGCGTGTGCAGAAGGCATTTTTTGAATCATAGCGTGCTACACACAACTTACACATTTTAAATGTATTTATATGCGTAAATTGACAAAAAGTAAAGTCAAATATTTGAAGTAAATAAATGATTTTAGATCACGCTAAAAGAAACCCCTCATAAACTAATTAAACCAGCTGAATTCACATAATAAAATCGATCTTTATAAAATTTACATTAAGAATTGAGAAAATAATATTGAATAAACAATTGATTGAATCACATTATTGCTGGCCCATTGTGAGACTAAGCCCACCCCCTCCCCCTTAGTGTAGATAATATCGTTTGTTAAAAAAAAAAAATCATTTGACAACTAATTTAATCACATTATTATCCGCGTGCGAAAGACCTTTTTTATAACCGGCATTACATGCCTCTTAAGATGTTTTGAACGTGTTTAAAAATAGAGAAAATAATATTTAATACATAACTGATTGAATCACATTATTGTTAGCCTATTGTGAGGCTAAGCCTACCCCTTTCCCTTTAGTGTAGATAATATCATTTGTTAAAAATAAAAAAATAATCATTTGACAACTAATTTAATCACATATTATTTGCAAAAGACATTTTTTATAACTGTCATTACATGCCTCTTAAGATATTTTGAACGTGTTTAAAAATAAAGAAATTGAATCACATTATTGCTAACCCATTGTGAGGCACTAATTTTTTTTTTTAAAAGCGCAAAAAATTTAATTATTAAAAAAGTATTGTTCGAATGACGAAAATGCCCCTGCCTTATTTGATGCATTATTTTGGAATGCCTTTGAAGTTTTTTGTCTTAGGGGGCATTTTTGTCCAAATCTTTTGTTGAAGCTTGGTGACATAAAAATCACTATTAACTTTTCCATTCTCTTTGTATATAGATATTATTAGAAAATGTGCCCGAACGTTTATGCGGACACTGAATGTAATATTTAGAATAGGCATGACTAATTTCCACACAGAGTAAGCAGAAAGGTGGTAGGATCGAAATGCCATTCTCAAATGCAATGATGGAGATAACAAATATTTGACCTAAGTAAATGCACAAAATCATGAATCAACACAGTAATCTTCAAATAATTTAAATAAGCAACATATGGATGTACTGGGATGTTAAATTCAGCAACTTGGTTTTCACATAAATTCAATTCAGCTTACATGAAGATGATTATATAATTGTTCACACCTATTATACCATCTTATATTTTACTTGCACCCAACAAATTATTCATTTTTTTATGCCCCTACATGTGGTTCAACAACGGGAAAGTTCAAAGTTTCAATAGTGGCTAAAAATGGAATGAAATCATATTATTAGTCAATTATATATATGAGATTACAATTTTATTTGTCAAATCCATAATACACAAACTCACTTTGGTTGGGTGGATGATTTGAAAAACCATTGAACATTAATAGTTTCCAGTGTGAATAAAATTTGCAATGATTGAAGCTTTAAAAAAATTTGAGAGTGTGATATGATGGCTTACCTCAACTTTGGTGTCTTCAATATCTAAGTCAGCAGAAATGATTTTGGATCCTTGACTGATGTTGTAGACCTGGATGACTAAAACAATGTAAATTATTGAAACAATGACAGTATAATCTTGTGAGCTGAATTTCACCTAGGTTTGATCTAGATTTGATGTATATGCTGGTGATGGAATACAATAGAAATTGGTTTGAATGTCATGTGTTGGTGGATTTTGAATTTTTGAGACCACTATGCCTATTATATTTGTAGTAATGAATGAATATTCATGTATACAAAAAAAGGTTCAGTTTTTATGTGCCAATGTAGCAATAGCAACCAGTGGCATAGCTTGGTTTCAAAGGTAAAATGTGTGTGCAAAAATTTAAAAGAAAATGCACTTTGGTTTGGTGTTGAAAATTTTAGTACTGATACATAAAATTTATTAAGTATAAGTTTAATTTTAAGTTGGAAGCCGATCTCAAGACATTTTACAAATATGCAAAACATTTATGTGAATGTGAGTTTTAATATTTTCAAAGGTCATTATGTTAACTTCAAATTGACACTAAAATTTATGAATTTTTTGTAAATGATTGTTAAGTTTTGTACATTGATACTTAAGATGTAAGAAAGGTTTAAGCCAACTAATATTGAGCTGAAGTAAGAAATAATATCATAATTGCTAAAAACTAAAACGGCTGACAAATAATTTTATCAAAGCTAACAAAAGATAGTGTTATAATGGCATACCTTATAATCAACGATGATTTGATACAATGTTGTATGTGACAATTTGTTAGTCTGTTTATTGAAGAGTGAATGTGTAAAAAAATAGGCTGCAAAATAAGAGTAAATGAAGCAAAAGTTGAAACAGAATTTTTGGTTGCAAATGAGCTTAGTGTCTCAAATTCCTTGAACCCCAATTTTTTAGGAAAAAAATCTCAAGTTTTCAATCAAACATTGAAAAAAACAAAGTAAAAATCTAACAACATAGATTAAAAAGAAAAAAAGAAAAAAAAAAGGTAATTGACAGAAGACTATTTGACAACGAAAGCACAAGGTAATCGTAGCTATTACCTTTCTTGTCAAGTATCTCTATAAGTATTTTAACCATAGCTCCAAACAACAAACAAAGCAACTGAAAGAATCAAAGAAACAAAAAACCACACGATGACCTAAAACGAAACAGAGTTTGACGTATAAATTAGGGTAAAGTACAAAAAATACCTCAACTATGGGTCAAATGACATTTTCATACCTCATCTTTTAAAATTGATAATGTCATACCTTATCTTACGAATTTATGTCAATGTTATACCTTCCGTTAGTTTGGCCATTTATTTATCAGTTAAATGCTGACGTGACTTGATTCGGGATCAATTTTTATTAAAAAATTAATAAAAAATTATTAAAAACAAAAAAAATCATTTAATATTATTTAAATATTAAAATAATAAAGAAAAGTTATTTAAAAAAAAAAAAAAACCAACATCAATTCGTCCCTTCCCCCCTCTCTCCCTTCTCCCCATCTTCATCTTCTTCCTCTTTCTGCAACTGCAATCCAGAAAAACAGAAGAGAAAAAAAAAAAAAAACCAATTTGTTTTCCCTGCTCCCCATCCCCTCTTCTCCCCACACCCACGCACCCAACCTCCCCACCTTCGCACCCCACCCTCTGCACCCAACCTCACACCCACTACCTACAACCCCAAAAAAAAAAAAAAAACAAAAAACCCATTCTCCTGGGCGAGGAGAAAATGGGCGGTGTGGGGGGGGTGGGAATGGGTGTGGAGGGGAGAGGGTGGGTGCGAGGGGGGGCGGACGAACTGGGTATTTTTTTTTTTTTTCTTCCCTCTTCTTCTTCTTCTTCTACAGGTTGGGTGGGTGGGTGAAAAGGTTTCCCGTTGTGTTTTTTTTTTTTTATTTTCTTCTCTCTTCTTCTGCTTCCCTCTTCTTCTTCTTCTTCTGCAGGTTGGGTGGGTGGAGGGGACAGGTTTGCCGTTGTTTTTTTTTTTTTTTTTCTTCTCTCTTCTTCTTCTTCTTCGGGTTGGGTTGGGGGGTGGGTTTTTTTTTTCCTTCTCTCTTCTTCTTCTTCTTCTTCTTCTTCTTCTGCAGGGGGACGAACTGGGTTTCTGTTGTTATTTTTTCTTTTCTTTTTTTTTTTTTTTGTTTGTTTCCTTCTTCTTCCTCCTTTCTAGGTTGCAGGGGGTTGGATTTGTGGTGGGGAGAGGGGGGATGAACTGGGTTTGGTTTGGTTTGGGAACTGGGTTTCCGTTGTTATTTTTTCTGTTCTTTTTTTTTTTTTTTGTTTGTTTCCTTCTTCCTCCTCCTTTCTAGGTTGCAGGGGGTTGGGTTTGTGGTGGGGTGAGGGGGGATGAACTGGGTTTGGTTTGGTTTGGGTTTTTTTTTTTTTTTTATTCTCTTCTTCTTCTTCTTCTTCTTCTTCTTCTTCTTCTTCTTCTTCTTCTTCTTTTCTGGGTTGCTGGAAGATGATGGGGAAGAGAGAGAAGGGAGATGCACGAAAGGAGAGGTTTGTTTTTTATTTTTTATGTACTTTTTTTTATTATTTTAATATTTAAATAATATTAAATGATTTTTTAATAAAAATGGGTCCCGAATCAAGCTACGTCAGCATTTAACTGAGAAATAAACGGCCAAGCTAACGGAAGGTATAACATTGACACAAATTCGTAAGATGAGATATGACATTGTCAATTTTAAAAGATGAGGTATGAAAGTGTCATTTAACCCATAGTTAAGGTAGTTTTTTGTACTTTACCCTAAAAATTAAATAGTCCATAAAAGCCTTTAACAATTTTATATTTTACCAATACGTTTTCAATCATTTGTTTTTGTTTTGTTTTGTTTTTTTTTTTTTCGTTTAAGCTTAGCTACGTCATTCATCTATCTCTTGGAATGCATTTACAGTCAGATTTACCAAAGGACACTATAAAATTAATTCTTAATACTCACCATATTGAATTATGATTCATGAATGGACAAAAATTTGACTGAACTACTGTAAAATTAATTCTTAATACTCACCATATATACTAAGTCGTGTTCAAAATCCTACTTACTTTGACCACCCCAGAGAAGAAAGTTTGGAGTTGGGACCGGGCCAGATACACACTGTAAGCCAAATGTCATGCACTTGTTGCATGGCAGCATTGAAATTAAACATCCGTAACTTATGAAGAGGGTCCACTTTTACCAGTCAATCGAACGGATATAGTTGTTGCGTAGCGGCGTTGCAAGCTATAATGCACCCAACGTGACGCCAAAAGTTTACGAAACACCAAATTAAATACCAATATTCTAATATCCCCATCAATTGAACAACAACTATCAATTCTAAATAAGCATGTAATTTTTTCTTTTTAAATTGTAGAGATGGATTAGGCGGGATTAGCTTTTCGTCAACAGTCGTGTGCGAGGTGTCAACCCTTTCCTGAAGGAGAAAGGACCGTTGCACTCAGAAACCCCCCGCCCGTCCCCTCTCTACTAGATTTTATTAAGAAGAAAAAAGGAAAAGAAATACAAGCGGGGGAACAAGGTCAATACCCGCTAAAAACAACTTTTGAAGCCAAATCCTAATAAGAAGTAGAAAACTGCTTGAGACACGAAAACCCAGTTAAAACCCAACCTAACAAAAATCGATAATTGGGGCGAAGATTCAATCAAACTTTCTATCAAAATAAAATTACACAAAATTAAATACAACAAACAAAAACACAAACTGCACCGATCTGAATAAGAAATGCATATAGAATTGGAAAAAAACTGAAGGCAAGGAGAGCATACCCAAACCAACACTAATGCTCCAGCTTCTACGAATTCTCAGACTTCTTAGTGGAGGAAGCCAAACGTTTTAGCTGGCAAATTCTCAACAAACCACTACAAATCAACACAAAATAAATTGTTAGGGTTTCTTTCAAATGAACACAAATTCGAAACAGAAAATCACACACAGTTATTTTAGAATATACCTAAGCTTAATACAATTTGTCAGACGATAATTTGAAGAAAGGGCGCGCTTAGAGTCGGCTAACAATTTGTAAAAAAGCTGGTCCCAACTCCAGGACTGCCAACAAATATAGAGACCAACTCCTTGAAATTCTTGTGCCAACGATTGCAAGTTGAGGATAAAATGTTCGAATAAGACAAAAATTACTATATTTTAACATCTCACATACAACCCTAAGATTAATATAATTACTTTATCAATAATTTGAAGAGGTAACACATGATGTCCAAATTAACAAAAAAAAATTTCCTAACCTGCAGATTCTTAAAAAAACAGAAAGAAAGAGCTAAAATTTCTTGCCCTAGAGATGAAGAAATAAAGATAAAACATTGAAAACAAACTGACCTTAAAATTTTGATGCCGACGATGGCAAGATCAGAGCAAAATGCTAACCAACAAAGGGTTCGTCACTGGAGAAGACCGGAAAAACTGGGTTTTAGTGTATGTATAATTTGCTGTGTGTTTGTTTACAATGTGAAGAATATATTTAGGTTTCGATATGACCGATACATACATATGTATAGTCATTTTCCCCAATCAAACTATATAGTGTCTATTATAAAAATAATGGGTATTTTGCAATTTAGGACTTAATTGTGGGCTAGTTAATATACCATGTTGTTGTATAAAATTCCTTTTTCTGTGATTATTCAAGTTCATTTTTTACGGATTTTCGTTATCCTGCTTCTTAGTCCAACACTTCACCCAACACTTCACTAAGTTAGTCTAGATTAGTCTAGTCTAAGCCAGTCCAGCTTAATCCTTGAAGTTAGTTCAATCCAAGATACTTCGGTACAACAAACGCACCCTATGAGTGTAAAACAGTAGAATATTTTCCTTTTTTATTTTTTTTTATATTGATCGATTTTAATATTGTAAAGGCCTTTTTTCATAAAAATGCTTTACTTTAAATTTAGCAATAAAAAATATTGGGTAAAGTACAAAAAACTACCTCAACTATTGGTGTCACGACACTTTCATACCTTATCTTTTAAAATTGACAATGTCATACCTCATCTTTAGAATTTGTATCAATGTTATACCTTTCGTTAGTTTGGCCGTTTATTTCAGTTCGTCCCCCCACCACAAACCCAACCTCGTGCAACCCAGAAAGAAAGAGGAGGAAGAAGAAGAAAGGAAAAAAAAAAAAAAAAAAACAACCCCAACCCAACCCGAAGGAGGAAGAATAAGAAAAAAAGAAGAAGAGGAAGAAGGAAACAAAAAAAAAATGGGAAACTCGTCCTCCCCCCTGCCCCCTGCCCCTTCCCCCCAAAAAAAACATACCCACCCACCCTGCAAAGAAAAACAAGAAGAAGAAGAGAGAAGAGAGAGAGAAGAAAGAAAGAAAAAAAAACCCTGTTTGTCCGTCTTCACCCCCCCCCCCACCCGCGAGGAGGAAGAAGAAGAAGAAGAAGAAGAAGAAGAAGAAGAAGAAGGAAAAAAAAAAAAAAAAAGGGAAAACTCAATTCGTCCCCCCCTCCCCCACATACCCACCCTGCAAAAGAAAAACAAGAAGAAGAAGCGAGAAGAGAAAAAAAAAAAAAAAAAAAAAACCTAGTTCGTCCGTACCCCCCGCACCCACCCTCTTCCCTCCACACCCATTCCCCCCCCCCCCCCCCCCATTTTTCCAATTCCACCTCAACGGATCTAGGTTTTTGTTTTTTTTTTCCTCTTCTTTTTTTTTCTGGGTTGTAGTTGCAGAAAGGGGAAGAAGATGAAGATGGGGAGAAGAAAGAGAAGGGGGGAAGGCGAACTGATGTTGTGATGTTGGTTTTTTATATGTACTTTTTTATTATTTTAATATTTAAATAATATTAAATGATTTTTTAAATAATTTTTTAATAAAAAATGGGTCTCGGATTAAGCCACGTCAGCATTTATGTCACATCCCAGCCCGGGGGGACACTTCTCGGGCCCCCTCCACCACCGTAGCACGATATTGTCCGCTTTGGGCTTACCATTCCCTCACGGTTTTGTTTTTGGGAACTCACGAGCAACTTCCTAGTGGGTCACCCATCATGGGATTGCTCTAGCCTCCTTCTCGCTTAACTTCGGAGTTCCTATGGAACCCGAAGCCAGTGAGCTCCCAAAAGGTCTCGTGCTAGGTAGAGATGAGAATATACATATAAGGATCACTCCCCTAGGCGATGTGGGATGTCACAATCCACCCCCCTTAGGGGCCTGACGTCCTCGTCGGCACACACGCGACCAGGGTTAGGCTCTGATACCAATTGTCACATCCGGGCCCAGGATGTGATCCACCCCGGGTCAGGATGTGACAATTTAACTAAGAAATAAATGGCCAAGTTAACGGAAGGTATAACATTGACACAAATTCTAAAGATGAGGTATGACATTGTCAATTTTAAAAGATAAAGTATGAAAGTGTTGTGACACTAATAGTTGAGGTAGTTTTTTGTACTTTACCCAAAAATATTTAACTTAAACTTAGCAATAAAAATAGTTTTACTCTAAAGGCCTTTTTTCATTAACCTTTACTTTCTTGTTGACGTGATTACTAGAGATGAGCACTCTATTCATGATACTTATATTTGGGATAGGTCTTTACATACTATTGCTAAAAATGCTTTTCTCCTTTACAGGAAAACGATTGTACTCGAGCTTTCTTTCTTTAAATAAATTTATTTCTTCATAAAAAAATAAAAAAATGTTTAACAAAAATAAAACATTCTGATTATTTAAAAAAATGATTTTTAGACAACAACTTTTATAATAAAAACAAGCAGAGTTTAACCAGCCTTACACCCTATACCTCCACAATTGTTGTTGCTATCATCACCACCATAGTCAATGTGGCCGCCCCTACTACTATTGGTACCTTTACACCCCTACCTAGCACACCACACTAGTTACCTAACACTTTTACATTTCTTTGTATACTCAAAATATTTACGGTTTATTTTACAGTTGATTATTTTGAAAACATTTACACTTCTTAAAGTAGATTCGATTAGGGTCTGATCTAATGTGAATCTGAGGTTTATCGTACATAAACAGACAAGTTAAATTTGATGATCCAAATATGATCCGAATCCATTACTCCAATTACAAACGGATCCGAATATTGATAAAGTTTGATTCGATTTGAATCCAACCCAAATATACGTCCAATATTGAAAATTAAAATTATAAAATAATTAAATACACACAATTTGTTTTTTCATTTAATAAAGCAGGAGACTAGGAATGAGCCCATAGTAAAGCCATTGATTGTTTTATGAACAAACCTTGGCTGCTGCATATATAGTAGGAAGTCCTGCTATACAGCCCATGTACATTTTAATATGAACAATATTTGCTTACTCAAAGGAGTAGGAGTTTCTACTCAAAATTATTCGTTGTTAAATTATAAAATTCCGTTTTTATAATCAGAACTGTTCATATTATAAATCACTATATAAGGATCTCCTCTGTAAAAAATCAATTAAAACTAAAGTTATTTAGTCTGTATAAAAACAAATGAATGAAATTGGTAAAAACATTATGAACCGTTTATGTATTTGCTAGAATAAATTAACTAAATGACCTTAGTTTTAATTCATTTTTTATAGAGATGATTTTTAGAGCGTGATATATAATATGAATGGTTATAATCATAAGCATAAAGCGTTGTGATTCGAATACGAAGAGTTTTGAGTAGAAGTTCCTACTCATCTTTGAGTAGCCAAACATTGTTCTTTTAATATTGCATAAATTTTTAGGAAAAAAAAGAAGAAAATCATTGGATTAAACTAGTGAGCAGCCATATGAGCTATTTAGCACGACTTTTTGCTATATATGCAGCAACCAAGCTTTGTTCTTGTTTATTGTTCTCTCACGTCCCACACGCTAAGCCACATAAATTTCATATTGCAAGAGAGAATCTTTTGGTGGGGTAAATGCTAAGAAGATCATTAATTTAAACTAAATTTTGTAAAAACTAGATAACGTGGTTGTTGATGATATGGTTATTTTTAAGTGTTGATTAACGTGTTTAATTTATATTAGTAAACACAACATAGTTTGTAAATTTGAAATGAAAAATTGATCTATTTAGTAGTACTCATTTTGATAAAGACATAATACATCTAATTAGACAAACACTGACAAATCCTGACCGTTGAAAGCTACTTTTCATAGTGGCCCATACATATTCCGACTGTTAGTATTTGGTGTAGTGGTACTGTGGTAATACTAGAGATACCAAATTTCTAAACTAAAATTGGTAAACCAAATGATGTGAATATCGATGATTAGATAATTATTTAAGTATTAATAAATGTATTTATCTCTTATTACTAACAAATTGTTTAATTTGTAAATATAATTTAAAACTTTAATCTATCTAGCATTTTTTTTTATATTAAAATTAAAAAGTAGTTAATTAATTGGTATAACCCACAGTTTCATTTTATACATATTATAAAGTCTCACAAATTCTGGCAAGAACCAAAGTTCCAAATTTGATATAGGATGACTTTAGCATTTCTTCATTCATTCCCATCCAATGGGGTTTTTGATTGAATAAGTTGATTTTTTTTATCTTGTTGGTGTGAAAAAGGACGTTATTCTTGATTGAGCTCCCATAACGACAAAGGCCCGAGCTCGCGGCCATCGTAAGTTGTACGCACTTGGCCGGTGGTTGATATTAAAATAAAAAAGATGCATGCAGGGATAGTGAGACCCACAAATAATCGTTTGTTTAAGTCAAAGGTTCCACCGTGAACGAATTCGATGAAATGGACAGTTGAAGGATAAGCTTGTAAAAAGGCATGGTGGGGGCCTACGAATAGCATCGTGCGTCTGTAATTTGGTGTGTGGTGTGGCTTTGAAGTTAAAACTTTAGATTTTGTGCCGGGACGAGTTGGAGAACTAATCAACGGTTGGTATTGTCCGTGAGTGACATAACAGGTATATTCTTCATTTCACGTACATATTGTCCTATTAATCAACTAATATTCTTCATGTAATGTAAAGCTACTTTTGCCCAAAAAAGAAAAGGTGTACAGCTACTATTTTTCAGTGCTTTTATTTTCAAGTGCATTTTTGCCCACTATCATTTAATGTGCTGGATGTTTACTATATTATTTATTACTGTTAAATTAATTTGAATTTTAAAATTTGTGTTTATCTACTATACCAATCTTAAAATTCAAATTCATCTAACGGTGATAAATATGATGGTGAGCATACACCATATTAAATGGTGGTGAGAAAATTACTCCCTTTATTTTCGTATCTATTTTTGGTTTTATTCGCTCGTTTCTATTTTTACCTTTATTCGCGAACCATGACAATGTGTGTGTTAGGGGGCATCAATGAGATTATTATCTATAGTATATATGCTGCTTTTGAGGCAAAGAACTTAGGCCATCTCTAGTTAAGGGATGTAGGTTATTTTAGCTTGAATTTGTGAAAAATCTGTCATTAAGGCCATCTCTAATCAAAGGGGTTAAATATAGCTCAATTCAGAACTATAACGATGCATAAAAATTATTTTAAATTGAACATATTCATATGGTATCTCCAATTGAAATGACTAAATATAGCCCATTCAACAATTTATTATTTTAAGTTTACACTTTAAATTTATTGGTTAATTTAATTAAATTACTATTAGATGTTTTCAAACCTATCCATTGAATTTAAATCAATTATTGTAGTAGATGAGATGTGCCCCAAAAAAGAGGCTAAGATGGGGCTACATTTAGCCAGTTTGATGTCCCTTTGGCCAAATAATAGCTTTGGTGGACTTTATAGAATTATAACCCAACTATCCATTGGAGATAGATATTTGGACAAATCAGACAATTTTTTTACTTTGGATCTCTAACCTCTTCGATTGGAGATGACCTAACTAAGGGTCAAGATGAACATGCAAGAAAGAGTCCGAACTAAATTTAGTCATGGGCTGACTGCATACAACAAGCCCTCAAACCCTTGGCAGACCCAACATGTGCATCCCAAGCCACGATGGAAAGATTTAACCCTGCATGACTGGAGGAAAAATTTAACCGTACAAATATTCTTTAAAATTTAATTTTTCAGAAGACAAAATAGAGCTAAGGGATACATTTAGCCCTTCAACACTAGAGTTGGCCTTACCCAGTAGCGGAGCCACTGAGGGGCATAAGTCAGATGAAATAAGGAAATTTAATCAATATTTTTTTAAATTGACACAAACTAAACTA